TAAATTAAAAAATTTAAAATTTTATTTAGAACCTCAAAACTGGACGTAGCAATTAACGTCAAAGTTTATTTTCGTGTAAATCCACATTGTATTTGACGTAAATTAATTTTTAAAGAAACAGTTCTGTAATAAATACAGAAGAAATTGTGCACAGTAAAAAAAATTACAGAATATTACGTTGGCCAATTGGCCACAGAATAGCCAACGTTTTACTCTGTAAAATATTTACTTTACAGAATATATTCGGTAAAATCAATCAATAACCGTAATAATTTATGCGTTTACATAGTAAGAAAAAATAACAGAATATTAGGTTAGCCACAGAATAGCCAACGTTTTATTCTGTAAAATATTTACCTTTTACAGAATATATTCGGTAAAATCAATCAATAACCGTAATAATTGATGCGTTTATTTGAAACCCCATATATTTTTTCAGTGTAGAAAAGTTTATTAACGAGTTTCATAGTATATTATTTCTACGACAAATACCTAATATTATCTAAAAAATTATTTAAATTAAATATTTGTATAAAGCGACATCTATACGAAAATAAAGTAACCATCCCAAAAAACATATTTGACGTAATTTTCATCATTAGCATTGCGCGTTATTATTTGAATTAAATTTAACAATTATTGATTCTTTAAAATATTAAAAATATGATTGTTTGTAAAATTATTTATCCTTTGATTTTTTTGTATTACTATAATTACAGAATATTATCACAAAGTATTTAAAATTCTTACACGGGAAATGTTAAAGGTACAAAAAGTGACAAAACCAACTTCAGCACGTGACTAAAGCGCCATAAAGCCACAATGTATATTTAAAAGGAAACATGTACGATAATTTGCGTTTTAAAGGGGGGAGTAGAAAAAAATAATTATGTAGAACATCACACTAATGGCGATGGAGAATGCTGTGCTCTTATTGGTTTATTGCTTTCTATAGAGAGTATTTTCTATAGAAAATACTGGCAAATTTCAAAAAACAAACCCCTGGATACACCAATGTTTTATAAGCTTAATCTTTGACCCTACTTTTAGCAAATTAATTGGTATCGAGTCAATGTACCTGTATCTAATAACCAGATAACAGGCGTAATCCCAAGAATTAAGGTAATGCCAATTTCATTTAACAAGGCAAAGGGTAACATCCTTTAATAAAATTTTCACGCTTCTAAACGACCTGTGATTTGTAAATAATAATAATAATCATAAAACCCTGACCTTAGGTAACTCGGTTATCCTTTTTTACGTATTGTAAATATTATTCGACCAATAAAATTGTTTGCTTTTAAATCAGCTCGCTTTGTTTTGTCGATGAAATAATACATTTATTTACGTTAACTTAATGCTTTTTTATTACCTGTAGGCCTTCGTATATTAATGAAGTACCTAGTAATTAAATCTACATAATCGTTTTTATGATGGATATTTCATCATTCTTAATTAACTCTTTAAAATTTAAAATTCTGTAGAAAACTATAGCCTTTGGTGAAAAAAATTAATTAACAACTTATTTCTAGTGAATTTAATTTGATTGATCTCACACGTTTTGGCTTTTTAATTAAGAAATTTGACACCATAATTTTGTTAATCATTAAAATTTACGAATCAAATGGATTTGCCTTTTTTTGATTGATCGGTGCCTTGAGCAAAATCCCAAAACTACCTGGTTAAATTCTCAGTAAAAACACCATTTTATTTGTACGTTAAAGAACAGAACATTCATTCATTTCTTCTGTGTTTACAAACCATGATATGGTTTGCGAATAAAATACAGTGAGGTTTTGTTGGATTTACCTTTATCCAATAAAAAGGCAAATAAATACTATCGGGTAAGCTTATCAAAGAGTTCAAACAACATGCATATTGCGCGGTTTTATTTAGGTCGTACTGAAAACATAATTACGGAATATAAATTAAAAATCAGCGATTTTTATTTAAACCGTGATAAATTTTAGCTCAAAATAAGGTTGAGTAACAGACCAAATAAACACATAAATATTATATATTATCTTAAATAATTGTAAAATCCTCTGACCATCCAAAAATTTTGATTTTTTTTTAAGATTGTATTTTTTTACAAAGACATAATATGTGATTTACATATTATGTAGGTCACTTAAAATACCTTTCTGTTATTAACAAACAATGAAACCAAAATCAAAGGGGTTATTAAATGAGTTTATGGCTCCTATAAAATTTAATAATTTAAGAACGATCTTAAAAAACAAAATAAAACAAAAAGAGGCCCAAATTAACTTCATTCTTTTGTAAAATGCCTGCGCCGCTCCTTGAATTAAAGTGGTGAGCAACTTTTTTATTCAATAATAAACCGGCGAGCTCGCCGGTAAGTGTATAGGCCTCAACTCTTCTTTTAATTTTCAGATAATGACTTCTGAAAATTAGCTTTTAATTTTTTATTAACCAAGCGTACCAACCACTGCACAAACGACAAACGGGTTATCGAACTGACTGACTATAGTGTATTTTTGTTTTACAAAACAGAGAGAATCATAAAAAAATACTAATACTCAAACTATAAAAATTTCAAAATTTTAAAGGGTTCAAAAATTAAAACAAAAATTAGTACAGAAAAAACCTGTAAAATATTATACAAATTTTCTAGATGAAAAAATATCGACAATCATAAAATATTAAGAAAAGCCTGTAAAATTAAGATAAAAAATGTACATATGTTTACATGTAAAAGTTTTTTTTCAAAATTACTATGACTAGCAAAGTTTTGACAGGTTTTTATATTTTTTCTAAATTATTTGAGAACCCCTGATTTTTTTCAATGCCATTTTAATATACTTGTGGCTACGAAATTTTTCTCAAATTTAACCGACCTTCAAATAAAAAATATACCCATACATAGAAGGATACTTGGTGCACCCTATAGAAAAAAAAGAAAAAACCTGGAAAATATTTAATTATGAAAAATTTAAAAATATTTCGAATAAAAATGGAAAATATTAAAAATTTAAATAGGTAAAACAAAAACTAAAAAATTTTAAATTGTAAAATAATTTTTTTAAGAAAAATTTCCTTCATAAAAATATCGACAATTCTAAAAAAAATAAAAAAATTAAGAAAAAATAAAGGCAAAATAGGTTACCGTTAACAAGAAAACCCTGTAAGATATGTAGGAAACAGAAATTAAGTTAAAAATATATAGGACCTGTATTATACGTACATAATATATTATACCATACTGTCTTAATTTTAAATAATATACAATATTTTTTAAGTCACTAGAAAACCGGAAAAGTCGGGAAAATTTGGTTTAAAACAAAATAGCTACCCTGTTTAACAACGACTGGTTAACGATTTGAGATTTTCTATCCCGATTAAAAAATTGTAGTGTTTGTTAAACTTTCAAGATAATGAAGAAAAGATTGAAAGTCTTATGTATCTTTATAGTATATTATGTAACAAGTTTGATAGACGCCATTTTATTCACGAATTTAATTTAGGCACGACCGAGCATGCGAGCGAGTGCTTAATTAAATGAGTAAATATAGTCACTCATTTAATTAGAAAAAGTCTTTCATAAACTTTTCTATAGAAAAGTTTATGAAAGAGTTGAATAATATACTTTTTTCACGCCAAATACTTAATATTATATAAAAAATGATTAGAATTAAATATTTGTATAAAGCGGCATCTATAAAAGCATAAAGTAACCATCCCAATAAACATTTTTGACGTAATTTTCAACATTAACTTTGCCCGTTATTATTTTAATTAAAATTAACAATTATTGATACTTTAAAATATTAAAATAACTTCAAAATATGATTATGTTTAGAAAATATTTTATCCTTTGATTTTTTTTATTACTATAATTGCAAAATATTATCACAAGTATTAAAAATTCTTACACGGAAAATGTTAAAGGTACAAAAATTGACAGTTGAAGAATTTCTAACTTGGGAATCAACTCGCGTTAAAATCTCAAATTTGTCTGTGTAAATCAAAATTTATCCCTTGAAAGTTGACTAACAATCTATATAGAAGCAGTATAGTTAAAGAGAAGAGAATGTTTTATGGGCACTGTAAACATTTTTAACGATTTATTAGTTAAATGTAGCGCCAAGAAACTATTTAATACTTTTGTATTGAGATAATAAAATAATTTCCACATTTAGAATTATTTAACAAGAAAGGCACTTTATTTTAACGATTGTATGACATTTGACAACTGTCAACTAGCTTAAAACTAACTTCAGCTCGTGACTAAAAACCTGTTGCTAACTTCATCCCGTGACTAAAGCGCCATAAAGCCACAATTTGTCAATGTGTATTTAAAGAGTGCCATGGAAACATGTACGATATTGGGGGTGGGACTAGAAAAAATGTTTTGTTTCAAAGGAAGAATATTTATTTACATTACAAAATAAAAACGTAGAGCATATATATATATATATAACAGTCATTGGGCCAAAAAGTGTTAAAGTATCAAATAAAATTAGCCTTAAATCCCTTGCGGTAGTTGAATAAAATATTATGTCCCACTAGTCGCACAAGTTTGTAAAGGCACCTATTATTACAAATAATACAAAAATAACAAAATTAATAACATTTTATTGTACTTGTACGGTTGTTTTTTCTACTTAAATTCTATTAGGTTCAATTTTTTCTTTTTGAAAAATTATAAAAAATCTAGTAAAAATTACAAAATATCAAATCATGTCCATGAAGTTAATGAAATTAATCAGGTTTAATAAATTTATTAAACCAAATAAAGTATCTACAAATCATCGAGCAAAAAATTTATATCCTTGCCACGAAGATCACAGAAAACATCAAAACTTTAAATACAATTCTTATCCCTTTGGAAATCGAGACCGAAATCACCCCAAACGCTCGCTCCTCCGGACAAACTTTTCGGACCCTCTTTTCGACGTCCGCGCGCTAGTTCCGGCCTCGGCCGCCTCAGTGGCGCTGCAAGCATCGAGTCGCCGAGTGCACATTTCGAAACGGTTAGTCTACAACTGGCGCTCGCTTAGTTCACACGTACTGTAGTAGAAGCGCGCTGACGTCCACTCAACATCCCCACACGTTCACGTAAAAATGATTTAGGCGAAATTATCACCTATGTGACAGTTAATAGTTTTTATTTTTCGTGCATTCCGGTGATCTAACCCCGCGTCATTAGTGCAGTTTATACTTCAAAATGGATAAATCTAAAGGATACCAGCTATATTTTAGTTCATACTCTTCTGTAAGTATACCCATTAGAACCGTTAGTAGTGTTTAGATTTTAACTAGAAGCTTAGGCGGTGTTTATTTTCAAAAGAAAGTCTTAGGGTCTATACAGCTAACACGTATGAACATCATTTTTCTATTTTAGTTAAGACTGCATCAAATATAATCCAAACAAACATCAGTAAGCAAAATATTCATGATTTATCAAACATAACAAGTTTATTTATTACTATGCATTACAATATAAAATGTTAGTTATATATATATAGCCTAAATATACCTAACTTTATATATATAATATAGGTCAATATTATCCTATATTCTGCACATCAGTTGATATTTACTACATTATTAGTTGATCGATTATTCTATATTGTGATTAACAGTAAAAATACCAATTATAAAGTTTATCTATACCTACCCATAGCTTACTGTTTCGGATCATCTAAAATCCATATTAAATAATCATCATCAAGGAAAATGATAAAAAATGTAAAACAACGATAAAATACCAATTATAGTAAACAAGGGTTATCTAACAGTAGGCAATTAAAAATTAATTAGTTCAAAAAACAAAACATCTTCTAAATAATTTAAAGGAATCCACTAAAACATTTATAACGATCTTTTAGAGCTAGTTTACTGCTAAAGAATTTAAATGACCGCTGTTTTAAATGATTAAAATTAAAAAAACCACCACATTTCGTGTTGTTTTATTTTTATTCCATGAACAAATTATGACCGCGGAATAAATTTTATTTTTCTAAGCATAATTTTATTACGTTCACGATTACCTTGTACCTTCACCCAAAATTAAATATAAATTAGCATAAACAATAACAACATGGTTAAACTACGAGAAATATCCAATTTGTTGATTTATGAAAATAATTAAACTCGAAAACATTTTCCACGTCAAAAGAAAGCGGAAAATAATAAAATTGTACAACTCATTGACTAATGTTTGGTTTAAATACCTACACCAAAGATAAATAAAACTGCCTAGGTATCAGACAATGAACCCGAATCAACGCGTTATTTTTAATTAATTTCCAGTTTACCTGGCCAATTATTCCAGAAAGGGGGAATCATAACTGTATGATTTAGCCATATCAAAATGCGGATTGCCGACCAGGGAATCATATGGAGTCTATAGAAATTTAACGAGTCGTTTTCCTGTTTCTTACCGGTTTTTATTTACCGTAACATCGCTAATTATTTTTTATTTGGTTTTTGCGTAACGATCATTACTATAACAATGGATTATTTCATATGACTAAGATTTGAAATTAATTACCTTAACAAGAATTTATGAAGACGACTGTAAAGTTCAAGGCGAATACTTTCATAGTATAAATACGGTTTATAGCAAAAGTATAAAGTCGTTGAGAACAATATACAAAAACCATTTGGCTTTACGTGCCTTCCTCAGATTAAACCGACTTAGAAAAGTCATTCTCTTCCAGTTTTATATCTTTTTATAACGGTTCAAGTTAAGATTTTTCCGCGTTTCACGTATCGAATAGGTTTGGCAATAACAAACAGCGACATCATTAATATTCGACTAGGTACCAAATAATCAGTTATTGTTGAATTAATGTTGCTATGAATATATTAGTGTATCAAAACCATGTATGACATAAATACTTCTCTGAAACTGATAAAGGGAATTTCGGGATTTAATTCAAATAACCACAAATCATGTGTTATACATATAACCCCGGAGTTGATAAAACTAATCTAAGTTTATAACAAGTTAAGTTTTGGCTACACATCATATTCGGAAAGATTTACATTGTTATGCGTGAGATTTCGAGGTGAATCGAACACCCTGTAATCACATTTCCATATAAAACTGGCCACACAAAAATTGTGGAGATAATAACTTGATTCAATGGCCTTGTGGAAGGGAGCACTATGTAATTAGCCACCAATTCAGTGGAGTATTAATTAAAAATAATTGGTCGATAAAATTCAACCGGTTGCATAAAATTTTATTACATAATTTATTTTAAAGAATTCCCATCAATTATTTTTCGAGAAGGTAAACCTGCTGAGTTGCGACTTTATTTATTTATTAATTTAACTTATTAACAAATAAATGCTTAAGTAGCATTAAGACATATGTGAGTGCTGGTTAGCTGGAGTTTATGTGGTATTTTAATGGCCATATTAGTTTGGTTTGTTTTTACTTAATCGGCTTAAATGTCTTCTATAATTAGGATATGCTGCTATCAAAACATTATATTAGTAATGAGGTTAAAAAAACTTTCAAGGATTTCCTTCACATCATTTTACTAATGCTTACCTGGACTAAATTTTCTAAAAAGTTTAAATGTCATAAATATCAATCTTGTTTGTAAGATTTTTTGTTATTTTTTAGTCCGAAAATTTTCAAAATCAGTTTTGGTGTGGTACCTATTGAAATTATATTAAAGCTTTTCATCATCTTAAAATATCTTCAAAGTCTCATTTATTTTAACTCTTTTCAAATCATCTTGAAGTCTTCTTTGCACTTCTCATATCGTATCGAGATCGTATTTTTACTCAGTTATTGTTTAAAATCACATCTGGATGTACCATCTTTTGAAATTGTAGTACCATTGTTTAAAAAAAGCATTAAATTTGTCTTCTCTAAATTTCTTAACTCTTCTGAAAACATCTTTCTTCAGCTCAAAGTCTCATTTGGACTTTACCATATTTTAAAATTATAGTAACAATGTTCAAAAAAAGAATCAAATTTGTCCTCTGAGTTTCCTAACTCATCTTAAAACATCTTTAAAGTCCCCTTCATCATTACTCTTCTTAAATCATCTTCAAATCTCATTTGGACTTTACCATATTTTAAAATTATAGTAACAATGTTCAAAAAAAGAATCAAATTTGTCTTCTGAGTTTCCTAACTCATCTTAAAACATCTTTAAAGTCTCCTTCATTCTAACTCTTTAAATCTCATTTGAACTTTCAATATCCTATTTTTTAGTCCCATGTTCAAAATCACATCTGGATGTAGCATCTTTTGAAATTACAGTAATATTGTTTAAAAAAACCATCAAATTTGTCTTCTGAGTTTAGTTTACTCATCTCAAAACATATTCAGTCTCCTTCATCTTGACTCTTTTTATATCAAGTCATATTTGGACTTAAAGTCTCCTTCATCCTAACTCTTCTCAAATCATCTTCAAATGTCATTTGGACTTATCCTATCGAGATCGTATTCCCCGAGGTATTCACTTACTCTTCAATCTTGTCTGTAAGGTTTTTTGGTATTTTTTCATATCTGGATATTATCTTTTGAAATTATATTAAAATTGTTCAAAAAAGCATCAAATTTGTCTTCTGTTTCCTACCTTATCTCTTTAAAGTCTCTTTGTCTTCTGTTTCCTAAGTCATCTCTTTAAAGTCTCCTTTATCCTAACTCTTCTCAAATCATCCTTAAGTATTTTTGGACTTCCCAAATCAACTCCTCTCAACTCAAACTTAAACCATCAAAAACTCACTCTCTTTCAAACATCCATCCAACAAGTATAAATCTTCATGTTTCCCTTCTTTTATGTAGCCATCATATTTATGTTTATCGAGATCGTATCCCCTTGCACATCAATATTGTCGTCCATGAAACACAGCGACTTGATGTCGGGCAATAAAGTGCATCTCATAGGGGATCGAATCGCGAGGATACTTTGAGCATTACCATTGTTGTGCGTTATCTACGGCTTGCACACGTCTAGATAACTTCCCCGTGGCGGTCCATAATCTTATCGCCATGATTAATAGACATTTTATTAGACATTTTGTGATGGAACGAACGTCTTATCCCGAGGTGTAATAGGGTTATTTACGATGTAAGGTTGGTAGTATTAAGATGTTGTAGTATTAAGATGTTGTAGGCAAAGATGTATTATCTTTGGTTGTAGGTACCTAATTAGAGCGAGTATTAGCATATCTGGTTCTCATCATGTCTACTTAGGAGGATGCAAGATCGAATCGTTGAGTTTATTTTCCCTTCATGCTACTGAGGTAGTGTTAATCACTGGATAAACAATCCAATGTTTGCTGTAACCTTATAAAGCATTAGGGCTAATGAAAGTGTTAAAAATTATTCCATAAAAAAATTAAATAATCTATGTTAATGTGCTCATGAATAAGGCAAACTTTCCACCTAAATAAATACATAAAACATTTTGCAATTTATTTCAAGCCAAGCTAATCTAAAGCTGGAAAATAGTAAATAGCTTATTATAAATCACCGCATAACATTTTAAACCTAAGCATTTTAAAAATTCTGTGTCAGTAAAAGCGTTTTGAGGTTGAACCTCGCATAAATTACCATACATAGTTACGTTATTTTTTCTTTTGTTTCAGATAAACTCGACATCCAAAAGACAAAGAAACCTCCTATCAATGGTAAGTACTGATTACGTAATTCCCGTAAGCCATAAATCTTCGGCTAATAAATAAGCTTCATTGATTCCTTCGAGTGGAAAGAATTGAATGAAATGAAAAAACGCACGACCGAGTGAATTCGGGCGTCGGAAATACTTTTATTTTTTGTATTAGAAGGAGCCACATACGGACACCTCCTAATCAATACTCTTACGGGTTAAACGCGTTTTGGAATTCACCAAAGTGAACATTTCTTAACGTCGTTTATTTGGCAATACTAAAGATCATGTATTAATACTAAATGGTTAACCTTGTTGCTTACACAACGGTTATTTATAGCACAAGTTGTTTTTTGAATTTGGCAATACGTTGATGTTTTTTTTAAGTTATTGCATATCATTATCTAATCTTGTCTTGTTTCATGAAATATTGATAGCGGTTTATGGACAAAAAATGGATAAAGTGGGTGACTTCCTACATCTTTGTCACCTTCTGAAACTGGTTCTTGTACTCCTATGCAAATTTTCCGGTAAAAAATAAAGCAATTATTCCATTATGTTGTTGGGTGGGCAATTAAATATGACAAATGTTTTTTCGAGATAATAAAGTGTTGAGAATTAAAGAATTAAACGGCTAGTGGTGAGAAAAATTGAGGAAGTCGTACGATTAAAAAAATGCTTCGTATAAAGGAAGTAACGAATTAAGAATGGTAAGAAACGTTATAATTCCATTAGGTTATCAAGGATTCTAATTAAATCTGAAAATGTAAACTGTATACGTGCAAACTTTGCAAACGCATTCAAAAGTTGTAATGCAGTAATAAAAACAAACTTTCTGAAAACTTTTCCGTTCATTTTTAGATGAGTGTAGTAATAATTAATTTCTAAATATGTATGTGTGGATCGATATGATGCCGGGGCAATTTCGAAAATCGTTCCCGATGATTAATCATAAGTAAACTGTTTTATTGAAAGGATAAATTTCCAACGAACTGTGCAAAAGTCATTAGCGATATTGCTGAGAAAGCTGTAATTTTTATTGAAACCTTTTTATGTGCTCTTCACGCCCGGTTACTTCCATAGGGCCCGGCGTAAACAATTTACTTTATTAAATCGTATGTAAAAATGCGACAAAAATTTATGCGGAAAACGTGTACTTTTACCCTTATAATTAAGGATTATTCCTACTTCTTTTCGGTATTAGGTACTAAATTCGGTGCGTGACTGGACCACGTGCTTCTTTAATCACGCACGTGTGTTCTCAACTATAAAGAGCTTCAGTAGGGTGAATTTTATATTTTATAAACTACTTATGTGACAGCTATTTCCTCTATAACTCATATCGCAATGGCACGAAGGAATACAGTTTTATACACCTTATTGTGATGGCCTACAAGCCATCTTTAATTAAAGAATATTTACTATTTTGGTCAAAGTCCATGCTGAACGTTTTGGACCAGCAAATGAAGCACCATCATCCCAGATTGACCAATAGCATGTGTGTTGTTCACGTGATCTTAGCGAAAAGTGGTGATTTGGGAAAATCAATGTACTATAGAGTCCTTTGATGCACCTAGCACCATAACATACGATGTGCAATTATTTAAGGTTTTTTACTAAAATAAATAATTTTCAATTTGCGGACGACATCGTACATTTTCAACCACAACTAAATAAAAAACATAACCTTCAAATCAAATCGATTCAGCTTAATTAAACCTTATCAAGGAGGCGTGTAAGGATCTGCCGTTGACATATTTGATTAAGAACTGTCAAAATCAATAGAAGTTTCAGTTGAATGTATTAATAATCCAATAACCACAGAATATTATCGATTTCTAAGTATTCGCTATTAATTTTTTATCTTACCTACAAAACTATAAATGACTTAAAGGAAATTTTAAAACTAATAATTTCCGAGTTGTAGAGACATAAAATTTTAAAAAAACTGGGGTGCAAAAAATACAATAACTACTATAGTAGTATACTTTCCAAATGGTTACCGCATGGCAACCAAAACGGTCGTTAGCACATTAATACTTTTAATATGGTTTATTTTAAAAAGCGTTTATTTTTAAACCTTAATTGGATTTTTAAGTGCGCCACTCCATCATAAATAAAAATTTATTAAAATCAATTCCGATTGATTTCATTTAGATACGAAATCACGATTTTCGTTTTAATAAATTGGCTGAAGAATGGCAATCTCATTACAGTTGTGCCCTTTTTGAATCAGGCCGCCGCACCATGGTGACCATTTGATAATTTTATGAAAGCAATTTATTAAAAACATATAAACCAATAGGTTATGCTAAAAACATTAGATTTCTTCTGTTTTAATTTTTTTAATTCTCAACGTAGAATGCATTTTTTCGCTATGGCGTCCTTAATTTACTTATTTACAATAAGCGGCTGTTCATGTTAAAGAAGAAAAAAAGGATTTTCTTTGGTGTTAAACAAAATTTATTGCCAGAAAAGTCTCGTGAGTACTAGAAAAATCATAAAAATATGTTATAAATAAATAACAATAATGTTATTTAAATAATTTAAACTAATTTATTTAGTACTATAAGTCTTTATTCAAAACTACTCTCACAATATCAACCGATCGTTTTCAAAGTGTCAGGCACACTGCCGTTAAAACTAATGTGTCTACGTAGGTCCTCATTTGTTTATCTTCTCTTGCCCTTGGTATGCTCTTAAGTACCCTTTCGCTAACACGGCCATCCTGTTATCGGAGCGTCCTCGCACCGCAATACTGACCATCATCACAAAACGGCAAACTGTTCTAATGCAATTTGTACGGTTGCAGTCTTAAGAGGTGAACCTCCTTTTGCGTCTGTGGCCGACTTGTACACACTCGTAGCATTTGCCTAGGAGTTCAGGAAACCACAGAAAACTGAACTCTACGAGCGGGGTAGAAGTTACAATTCTAAAAAATACAAAAAGGAAGAATCAACATCTTACGAGATATACAAGAACATAAACTACGTTTTTGTTATACGCTGTGGGGTTGCCACCAGCCCTTAATTTAATTGTGGGATTGCCACAGCTACACTTTTGTTCTAAATTGTGGGATTGCCACTAATTTTTAACTAAATTATGGGATTGCCACTAATTTTCAACTAAATTGTGGGATTGCCACTAATTTTTAACTAAATTGTGGGATTTCCACTAATTTTCAACTAAATTGTGGGATTGCCACCAATTTTCAACTTAATTGTGGGATTGCCACCAATTTTCAACCAAATTGTGGGATTGCCACCAATTTTCAACTTAATTGTGGGATTACCACTAATTTTTAACTAAATAGTGGGATTGCCACTAATTTTCAACTAAATTGTGGGATTGCCACCAATTTTTAACCAAATTGTGGGATTGCCACCAATTTTCAACTTAATTGTGGGATTGCCACTAATTTTTAACTAAATAGTGGGATTGCCACTAATTTTCAACTAAATTGTGGGATTGCCACCAATTTTTAACCAAATTGTGGGATTGCCACCAATTTTCAACTTAATTGTGGGATTGCCACTAATTTTTAACTAAATTGTGGGATTGCCACATCTACATTTTTGCTCTAAATTGTGGGGTTGCCACTAATTTTTAACTAAATTTTGGGATCTCCACAGCTTCATTTTTATTTTAAATTGTGGGAATGCCACTAATTTTTAACTTAATTGTGGTATTGCCACTAATTTTATTACAATTGGAATACGTACTTTTATTCAGTGGATGTCCATCGTCTTAACTGATCGTGGGCGGCCACAGTAGTTCGTCGTCCTTGTTTGTGCAACACAAATCTCTCGTTGGGTAGTAGGCATCGTATTGTATATGGCCCTTTATATTTCGCTTTCAATTTTCCTCCTCCGGCTACCTGAAAATCTTCGACAGCCACAGTAGTTCGTCGTCCAACTCTGTTTGATTTTACTTAACACTGTGCGCATTTTTAACAGTTAAAATTGATGGAATGTTGACAGGGGTATGTTGTAATTCGATACCGCTTACACTTTTCACAATTTTTAAACAAGGTCTACCTATAACGTCCCACCCGATAATTATGTCAATGCCTTTAGGGATGGAACCATCTGGTACAATATAATAATTAATCTCTAAAGTTACAGCTGACGTCACACACACCTATAGCGTACACAAGTCGTGTCCCTAATCCCGAAAAAGCTCGCACTTTTTCGATTGGTTTGATCGTACCGTTTATTGTTTTTACTGCCGAATATTTTATAATTGATACATCGGGGTCTTGGAACTATTCGGCCTATCCTGTTCTACTTCTTTAGATGTTCTGCTTCGGCATTCGTGTTGCAGATTTCCGTGACGGCCACATTTAAAACATGAATGTTTTAACATTTTGTTGGGTCTACCGCTATCTGACCCGCGTCTGTCAACGTCTGTCTCTCTCTTGTGCGCTCCATCACGCCCTAAGATCCACGACCCTTTTGGTGGCCGGCGTGCGTCAAACTCACTTAATCTTAACATAAGCTCACGTTCAGAGTCCGGCTTCTGTATGTGCAGCGATGCACGTGCTTCAGCATGGTCCAATCCGTACTCAACCATACTTAGAACCTTATTCCACGGTAATTTATCGTAGAATCGCTGTATGCTGCTTTTGGTGTCCATAATCACACAAAGAGTCGCACTCTTTACTTCGTAGTGTCGAAGCTTTAAACGCTCGGGCACCTGGTGTCTCTTTGTCGGGAAAAGCAGTGATAAGGTCGGAACAAAAGTTTTCCCAGGATCGCCGTAAAGGTCTCCAGTTACAGCAGTACCGATAACCGCGATTCTTCAGCGCATCGCTCGCCTTTGCAATCATTAAATTATCGCTGACATCCTGTTCCTCTTTCAGTTTTCTGGCGTCCTCCAACCATTCGTTGATTGCGTATACGCAAGTGCATATATGCACTGTTATCAGGGTCATAGCTGGTGAGCTTGAATTTTATGTTGCCCTGTCCCGATGTTGACACCTGCGTCCTTTGTTCACCAGGTGAGATCAAACTTGGCGTGAGC